TCGTTGCGTTTCTGCCCAAAAGTAGGCAATCTTTTTGCGAATTGCATTGAATAAGTTTAAACTCGGTCCCTTAAGCCTTCTTTGGGGAGCCTTCCATCAAGTATCCCCGGAAGAGGGCTATCAAGCCAATTGATATGCATCCAAAACTGAATATCCTCCTCCATTACAGCAACGCAAGCTCAAGAAGCAGGAGAAGCTGGAGGCCGCGGAGAAGGAGAAGGAGGCCGCCGCCGCCGCTGCCGCTGCCGCTTTGGCCGCCGCCGAGGCAGGAGCAGATGGCGTCGAGGAGACCGACGACGAACTGGACGATCTCGAGGAGGACATTGTGGTCACGCGCCTGTAAATGTTTTATTCTCACCCAAGGACACACCCCAAAAAAAAAACAAAAAAAAACACCGCACAAGCCCCTCACACCCCACATTCCATCAAGTTATCGATAGAAAGAAGGAAAATTGACAAGAAAAGACAAGATTGAAGAAAAAAGACGAAGAGTTCTATTGATATAGAGAAAACGAACATGCCTATCGATAGACAAATACGCTCCGTGATCGATAAACAACTAGCGCCGATAGAAGGCCGCAACGCGTTGCATACTTTTGTGGTTGTAGTTTTGTAGCAGAACATTTGTACCCCTCACCCACGAAAACCCGGTCCTGCAAGAGAAAAACCATTTAGCTCAAAGTCCAACCGAGTTTGGCTTAACTTTAGTTTGTACATACAGAGAAGAGATCGAAAAGAACGAAATGCTATTGAATGCAAAGGCAGTGAAAATGCCCGGAAAATGCAAAACCTTTGTGTGTTAGTCTAGGTGTAAGCACACTCGTGCCTAGTTGATACGGACTTCCTGTTTTCAAATATAAATTAATCGACACCTATCGAAAACATCGATATAATCGATCGACTTGAAATCGCAAATGTTTTTTATTTGCTGAATGCAAGTCAAACATACAATTTCTGAGATATGCATTTCGAAATTCAAGAACAGTTTATTATCGATAAATTTATATTTTAAAATAAGGGCGTTCTTGAAAACTTGGTATCACACACCTATACACGAGACGCACACACTGCAACAGTGTGTGTGTGTTCGATGCCTAACAAATTGTTATTTTATTTTAAAACGTATTTTAAATATAGTCTATCCCTAAACGAAAATTGTAAAACACCTTCTTTTTTTGTAATTGAGTTTTTGTTTTTTGAGAAAGAAAAAAGAAAACGTGATAGTCTACACACGCCCACACGAAACACAAAAACAGTCACAACAAAAAAAAAAAACAAATATATAAAAATAGTCAAATTTGTAAAGATTAAAAATACTGGACCTAATGAAATATATATTTAAAAAATATATACACGATAGATCGATCAGTGCAAAAATGGAAAAACAAACAAACGAAAAGCAATTAATTAATATATAAAAATATCTTTAAACAAAAAAGCAAAAAATTTAGTAGGCAAAATGTTATATACACATTTTTTGCTCAGTATTATGTTTTAAACTAAAATTAAGCGAGTTATTGTTTCCTGTTTATATATTTTTTTTCGTAAACCCTATTTTTACGATTTTTTGTTTTCCGATTTCGAGTTTGGTTTTTTCTTCTTCTTCAACAAACTCCCTGCGATGGCAATTAATATTACAAAGAAATCAAATGATATACCATAAACACATCTACAAAACGATATATATATTTTTTTCGTTTTATTTAAACGTTTTACTTAAATATTAATGGAAAAAATACGCGCACACAACAAATTTGTGAGAAAAAAAATTACAATAAATATATTTCTTTTTTTTTTTGCTTAGTCTCGTAAGTAGTTCATTATATTATGTAAAATATATAAAATAAATAAATGAATATAAATCTAATTGAAATGAATTCTTTCACTGAGAAAAGGAAACGTGATTTGGTAATGTTTTGCTGGTCACGCGTAATTAGTTGAAGAACGAACGACACGAAAGCGCAGCTAATTTTCTATTTTTTCTACTCGCATTGGAGTTGCGCACAGTCCAGTCGATTTGACCGACTTAAACATACCCATTTCAATCAATTTTAGGGTGTTATTATTTGTTTTTATTTTTAAACGCAGTCTTGACCGTAAACAACACTGATTTAAGGTAATAAATACATGTGTAAACAAATACAGCTGAACAGCATTAGTTAATTAATATGAATAACATTTAAATAATTCGCAAATTGTGCTTTAGCTGCATTTTAGGTACTATTATTTTAACTAATCGCATTTGAAGAATCGTATTTCCTAGTCGTTATATGTACTTAGACCAGAAGGAGGACAGCTCCTCTTAAAGGACGATGGCCTCCTCCTCCTGGTACTGCTTGTTCTTGCGTCGCCGGTTGGACTTGATCTTGCTGAGCACACTGTACGCCTGCTGGATCTCGATAAATCGCTGGTGGGCCTGGGCCCGCAATCCCTCGTCCTTGACCTTGTCGGGATGGTACTCCTTGGAGAGCTTTCTGTACGCAGTGGTGATCTCTGCCTGCGAGGCGGTGGCACTTACGCCCAAGACCTTGTATGAATTGCGTTCGCCATCCACGTCCATGCTTTCGAACACCTCCTTCCAGGTCTCGTACCAGCCGTGATGCTGCGCATAGTTATAGGTGTCCTGCAGGGCTTGCTTGAGATCTGTCCACCAGGCGGAGGCCAAGAAGTTATGGATGGCCTCGTGGATGGGCACCTCGCCGCCGTCCTCGTCCGAAATGGTGCCATTGAAGTACAGGAAGCTGCCCCAGAAGGCGCAGTAGATGACCACGGCGGTGGTCAGCTTGAAGGTCCTTTCACCGGGGCTTCCCCTTCGTGGCGGAGTCCTTCGCCACTGTTTGGACAAGCCGTCAAAGGTCAGTGCCGCCACGAGGCCAGTGAGCAGTAGGGAGTAGGTCTCGTCGTATATCAGATACCTGGCCGGATACGCCAGATAGGCGGTCAACAGGCAGTGCCACCAGACACCCTGCTCCCGGCCAATGTTGCCCACAAGCCAAACGCCCAGGGACACGAACAGCGGTATCGCCCAGTGTAGGAAGCTCAGATCCCAGCCGCCAACCAGGGTCTCCGGAATGGCCATGGAGCACACCTGACCGAACAGGTGGCCGATCATCACCTGGCCGACGAATCTCTTCGAGGAGTACGGCGGTTTCGGATACGCCTGCAGCTTGGCCACGAACATCTTCACGAATTTGGGATCCTCGTTGGCATCCCGCACATACTCGGGGATCAGGAAGAGCTCGCCCATCCAGCCAATGCCCATGTAGCCACCCAGGGTGCACCACCAAATGAAGGCGTGACGATCGCGGTGCAGGTACAAATGATGCAGTCCGAAGATTCCGCCAAAAAGCCAGCATAGATAGGCTATGACCACCGATTTCTGTGGCGGCAGAGCGTTCACCTCCTTGTTACTGGACTTGCCCTGGACCTGGCCATTGGACTTAACCTTCGACGGAGATCCGCTGGCAGAATTGTTGGTCTTATTCTTTCCAGCCACTGGAGATACGGTTTGTTTGGTGCCCATGGTGTTCCAAGCGGATTACTGCAAAGGAAGAGGGCACAAATGTTAAATAAGAGCGAAAGTTCGGAAATAGTTTTTTTCTAATAAAATGGGAAAAATTTGAAAAAACATGACAACGTAATCATAGAATACAATGAATTTATATTTTTATTTATTGTTGGTAGTACGAAATTAAGCTCGACAATAAATACTTGTGAATAATATTTAGTAAAGTAACACGATTAGATGTACCACATTTAACTGATTAACGATCAGCTTTTTGTATGTCAAACACATTAGAAATTGCTCGAACTAAACCATAAAGAACGACTTAAAACACGTCTCTAATGAAAACTTCACACCGCAGGGTTTCCAGGGATATCGTTAATTATTTTTAAGTTAGTTACGGGCTTTAAATATCGCTTTTTGACCAACTTTTCGTGAGAGACACTTACCCACTCGCGATCGACCTCGATTTCTTGTGAAATTGTCGCTGCGCAGGCGCAACTTCTTGGCCACGACTGTGTGGAGGAATTGGAGAGAGGCGGAGAAAGACGCGGCGCAGAACTTTCTCTTTTCACAAATTCTACGCACGCAGCGAGAAGACAAAAAAAAATCAACAAACTGATCCACAAGAACAAAAAAAAAAGAACCTAGTGTACTGATGCGTTCAATTTGAATTGGTTCATGCTATTTTCACTAAAATTACAATTGAACAACAAAACCAAGCGCAGCAAATACGAATTTGTTGTTTTGCGGGCCGGATTAAAAAACTGAATAAAAAATCCGAACTTGTTGCTCGGCTTACCTTAGGTGTGACCAAATCCAAGGACAAGCAAAAATACCATTGATCTGAATTTTAGTACGTTGTATATATAAAATACTCTTTAGTTCACAATTGCTGTGAGGCAACAAATGTAAAATGTAAATACAGACAAAAAAAAATATTGCAACTATGTACACATAGATCAGTCATAGATATATTAAAATCCAGCTCGTTAGTTTCATTTATAACCAAAAAGAACACAATTAAAAATGAAATATTTTTATTGATTTTCGTGTTTTTGCTGCTTAATATGGCATAGTTGCATATTTTGCATGGCTTACAAGTATAAAAAGAATTTTTGTTCTCGATAATTTGACACGTTATTTGAGCTTTTAAAATACACTTAGCCTATGATTATAGTAAAAATAAAAATCAAATTCATTGGGGTTGCCAACTAAAATTGTTATGAGAATTTGTTTATGGCTGGTGTGCCATGAATAATTGCTTCAGAGATTTTCAAATACACTAATAAAGTATAAAATATAAACGTATTGCTGAATGCTTACGTTCTTTCAAAACATCTCCAACAATTATGAGCACACCCGCCTTGTGGTGTTGTAATACTTTCCATTGGGATTAATAAATAGATGAGGCAAAAAAAAACACATTCGATTTAGTGCTAACTTTCCGGAACCAGCTCCGGACTTAAGATGAGTGTAGTTGCTGGTCTTGAACGGTGGCCGATTAGTTGTTCTTCTTCTTGGGCTTCTTGGGATTGCGGGAGCGCGACTTGGCCTTGCAGAGCGGACAGATGGGCGCGTTCCGGTGGATCTGCTGGTGGCAGGACAGACAGGACTTCATGGGTGGCGGCTGCTGGCGGAGATTCACATTAAAGTCGGAGCGGAACGAGGGATGGTGGCCGATGCCGATCGAGGGCGATTGCTGTAGTCGATTGCTGGGCGGCGGCGGTGGCGGTGGTGCTGAGAAATCGCCCTTGCCCAGACGCACTGCAGCAGCAGCCGCAGCGGCGGCGGCAGCAGCACTGCCTGCTCCCGGCGGGGCGGGTGGCATGAAGGCGTGTCCAGGATTACCGCCTCCGGCTCCTCCGCCGCCCACGGATCCTGCACCACCGCCTGCAGCGCCGCCACCACCAACGCCTCCCTGTCCGCCGCCGGAGGGCAGTGCCGTCACCGTGGCCTCCGGCATCAGAGGATGCCGGGCGTGCGGACGGGCCAGCGATGAGGTCTGATTAACCGAGGCCGCCGCCGCTGCTGCAGCAGCTGCTGCTGCCGCCGATTGGGCGGCCACCTTAAGGAAATTGGTCTGGAAGCGATCCTTTGAAATGGGACTGCCCTCCTCCTCGTGAAGATCTCGCAGCGGACTAAGTCCGAGATAGTCACGGCGCATGTGATCAATCTGGTACTTCAGGGCCAGGTACTCCTCGTACACCCGGTTGGCCATGTCGAAGGAGCGCGTCTGGTTCTCCTTAGTCTGCTTGATGATGTTCTCCATGTCGTTGATGTCCGCATGGATCTGGCGCAGCTCCTCCACGTGCGACATCTTCTCCTCGAGCAGGTGCTCCATCTCCTTGCGGTACTCCTCCAGGCATTTCTCCTCGTCGTCGCTCAGCTTCACCTCCTTGATGATCCGCACCTTGAGCTTCTCCAGCGACAGGGTCTTGTCCCTGATGTCCTTGATGGCCTCCAGTTTGGCATAGTAGTGACGCTCATTGGAGCTCGATATCTCGCTGGTGGCCATTGTAGATCCAAAGCGCTCCGTGTGGTATTCTTGGACTGGAGTAATAGGTGTATTTTCGGGAGAATCTCGAGTGCTTGCTGTATTCCCCTTCCCACGGGCGAATGTTTATTTTGCACTTTTTCACTAGCCTAATGGTTCGGTGTCGGGTTTTCCTGCTGATTCTTAGGCATCTGATGTTGTTTATTGAGTCTTTTGTGTTTATCCTTTGGATCGGCGCACTTTTAATTGATTTTTTCTTTATTTATTTGATTTTTTCGCTGCTAATGCTAATACCATTTTTTTTTCTGGTATACAATGCAGTGTGACCAGGTTGTGAAAACATTTTCCCCGATTCATCACGACCAGCCGATTTATTTTCTATCGATAGCATATCGATCACAATCATAATCCATCACTATTATCACTTTTTGCAGGTATTCCCTGGTTTTCGCCGAACGGTCACACTTGGCGCGCCCCGTTATATATAGTATGCATTTGTATTTTTCGATCGGCCGCAGATCGTTCGGATCGGAAAATCCGGTTCGGCAAGCGGGCTTTGGGGCAAAACAAAGAATCTTGTTCTGGTCATTATTTTTCCATCCGCGAATTGTCAACTGTTGTTCGGCAAATAGTTGTTGTACTCCATCGGAGCCAGCAACAAAAACAACCGCGGATCGCAAGAGAGGAGAGAAAGAGAGAGAGACTGGTGCAAACAATGCGTACGGGTGCGCATGTGTGTGTGAGACATTCCGCAAGTGATTCATTCATTCCGCAAGAATAGTAAATAAATAAATAACATAAGGAGGTGCAAACTAGAACAAACAAATGGACACATTTGTGGAAATGTGTCACCAAGTGGCGGCCCTAAAATATCAGTGCAATATCAATATGTGTCGGAAATCTGCCTAGCAAGTTTTACTGACACTTTGCTTTTCGCCCACCGCTCTCTCTCTCACACTCTTTGTTTTCGTTTTTTTATTGTTGTGCTCTGTGTGTGTTTGTGTTGTGAATATAAAGCGAAGTTAAGGTGACCACGCACAAACTGCATACGAAATTTGAACAAGGAAAAAGCGAAAGGTAAGTTCGATTTGTATGCTTCTTATTTAAAGCCGCAGTTTCTTTGCGATCTCTTTTTCTGCGGGCTTCAAATTTCCATGGTATCTTCTCTCTTCAATGCGTTCTAATCAATCCGTCCGCACATACGGGCTGTGTGTCTGTGTGGGTGGGCTGGTCATTTTTAAGAGACAGCTGTGTGATAAATAATAGTAATATTTAAAGTGAATGGAATTGTTCGTATATTTGTATGCAAGCGAAATACAGCAATATTGATAACAATTTGTTTAAAAATATTTCGTTTGTATATATAATTTGTTATTCTAGTAAAGTGTCTTGGCAACCATCAGCACTTATAAAGTTAACTTTTATTTTTATTTGTTTGCGCCTTTACGCAATGTCAACAGATGTGTCTTAATAGGTCCAGAGATACTTTGGCTATGTTTATAAGACCGCTATTGCTTTGAAAACAGTTGTATTTTGAATAGTTTTTGACACACATGCATATTTCGCTTCTAACTGCTTATCGCTCCCATTTGACGATAGACTGTGTGAGCGGGACAGGTGTCATCTTTCGGCCTCTCCCCCCTCTTTCGCTCTTTTCCTCGTTTGACACATTTTGTTGCTGTTCTTAATTGTTTGGCAATTAAGTCAATTATAAACATATTAAGACAGCCGACACACATTCTCCGATTGAATTCGGTTTTCCCTTTGACTTTCGCAGAAGAATCAATAACCAAATAATCGATCAATCCAGGGAAAAGTCCGAAAATTGGGCTAAATAAATAAAAGGCTCTCAATGTCTTTTAGTTATGGTATTATAAAAAATATACAATCCATAAGTTCGTTCGGGTGCGTAAAATACGGCAAACCCGTGAGTTGACAAATATTTGATATATTCTGATCCGTAAAAGAAATTATCTTGAAAAAAAAAAAAAGCTGCTTACTCTATCTATAATACATATATTTATATTAAATAACAAGAGCTGTAATCTCCCATCTCTTCAAAAACCATACCCTATTTTAATTGCGTTTCATTGTAAAAATGTACGGCTTCGTTGACATTGCCTGAAAATCAAGTACATTAAAAGGTTTGTCAAAACAATATGGTAAAATACAATGATAAAAGTAAATCTGTAAACCTTCAATATATATTCCTAAAGATTTACCCGTTGTGCGTTGGCAGAAATAGTTCTCAAACGATCGGAACAGCTCCACACTTAGTATTCCCCTCATGATAGTCCGGCCATCGGTAATCAAGTGTCTGGGATTTACTTTACCTTACCCTCTAACGATCGTTTCGTGGATTCTTCTCTGTCTACCCGTCTTCTCTTTTCTCTGTGTGTAAATCAAATCACAAATCGATGGCAACTTACATACGACAAAAAATGCTGTCAAACAACTTGGAAATCGAGTCGCACGTCGCGAGATCGCTTAACCCCACACTGCCCCCCTGATTCTCCGATTCTTCGCACTCCCTGGTCTTATATAATTGGGGCCATGGAAGCGTTAAGTCGAGTGGGGAACTATCTGTGCCCATTTCCTCCAGTTTTTTTCGTTTCTGTATTTTTTGCACCATGAATACGATCCCGGAATGAGGGACGAACAGTTAACTCAGCTTATTTTACTGTCGCAGCTCTTATCGCACTTATAAACATAAACAAAAAGAAAAGCAAAGCTTAACGCAGTCCGTGAATAAGAGAATACACATGATGCACAGGGAAAATATCAATCATTACCAATATCTTTCTGTATCAATTTTATTCAAATTATTTCCAAGAAAGACTCTGAAAATAGTAGAACAGAGTTTACAATAGCGTGTTCTTTGAAATGCCAACTAAATGACCAAAGTTAAGTTCTTTTTGTCAGTGTACTTTCATATAGCCATTGCACTTGGTCCATGGAAACTGCTGTAATTAGCAAAATAACAATGCAACAAAAGAAGAAAAGCATAAAAACGTAAAGGGAGAACGCAAGTGATTCATGCGAATAAATGACTATCCAATTGCAAATGCGCATGAATGCATCACTTTATTTGCATGCAAACATATAAATATAAATGTGAATTAAATCCATCCGTGGTCATATTGCACATGTACACATATATACAAATATAAATATATATTTTTTTTGGTTTGGCCAAATATTATCGCAACGGATGTAAGCCTTATTAGATCGTATAATTGCTCAAAATATTGGAGCAGAGTGCGGCCGCAAAATATGATATGATATATATGATGTATTATAGTTGGCTTAAATGGCACTCAATACTCTTTATCGAAAATATCCATTGAAGAAAATATTATGGGGACCTTCTCATTTATAAATAACCATAAATCCGAGATTTCCAGACGACCATCTATTGCCGGTCATTCATAATATAAAATGGCACTCAGTTCTTTATAATTATCACTGTTGGGTGGCTCGTCGTTGTTATCGCTCTTTTTGCCCAACCATATAAATACGAATGATATCTGGACACAACGTGTATATAGAGAGTGTTTTATACTATACGCGAGTATATGACACGTATAATAAGTATGACACATTTCGGTATCTATGGGCACAATAATTGAAGAACAAATATGTAAACTAAAATATTTAGAACAAATTGCATGTTTGTTGAAGAGAGTTAAGATCTTGTTATTATAAATACAAAAAACAATACTGTTATTTTTTAGAAATCAGTTTAAAACGAATTACATTTATATAGGAAAAGTACCATTTTTATACAAAATCAGTATGCCCTAAGGTTATGAAACACTCTGTAGGTGCGAGTCCACATGGCCACAGAATTGGATAATTGAATGTGGATTCGTATTCGTGATTGTATGTGGCAAAACAATTGATTCACTTTCAGCACTCGCTTACTATACGAGTCCGAGTATCTATATATTGCCCGTTGTATGAGAGCGTAAAATTTGAAATTCGATTAATCATCGAGGAAAATACACGAAAGGCGCCATAATAGTAGGTCTAGCTGGTATTCCCGGAATACAATAAAGGGTCCGATCTAATGTGAGTCATTCATCAAGTTCATTCATCCAACTTATCCCGCTAATATGCAATATGCAAAAAAAAAAACAAGATAGAATGCTATGTTCGAGTTCCCCGACTATCAGATACCCGTTACTCAGCTAGTGGAAGTGCAAACGAGAAATTTAAACATTTTCGGGAATATCGGTAGGAATTGGGGAAAACATAATAAAATGATAAAATAATAAGTTGAGTTATGGAGTTTAGAACTTCAGCCTTAATTTTGTTGAATATCTACATCATCACTTTAAAAAATGACAAAAAAATTAAAAAAAATACATTTCTAAATTTGAATGCAGAATTTTAATATTTTTGGCAAATCGATAGAAATTTACAAGACTAATACAAAAATTTCCAAACACTTTAAAATTGTGGGCGTGGCAGTTTTACGCGACTTGTGGGCGAAAATGCTTTCTTCTGCCTGTTACATACTTTTCAACGAATCTAGTATACCCTCTTACTCTACGAGTAACGATTATAAAAAAAAAAATAAAAAAGAGAACAGAGTGCCCCGGCGACAATAACCGCCACAATGGGTTCGTTTAAGCTTTAAACGCTTATAAACAAAATCATCGAGGCTAAGGGAAGTGGACTATTGGTGGAGTGGAGGAGAACTCCCATTTGAAGTGGGGCGACCACTTAAGCGACAACGACAGCGATTCCCGGGATCCCCAGATGGTCCACTCTGTGCAATCCCATGCCAACCGACCCAATCCGAACAGATCTAATAGGCTCTGGTCTGGTCTGGTCCACTTTAGACGCTGTCAAGAGTTGAAAAGTTCAGGGAACTGCATTGGAAGGAAAACGAAACAATGGGAGGGCCCGATAAATTAAGATCATCAATGGAGCAGTGATGTAAACAACTCTCAAATGCCAGATGCTTCACTCGTTAGTTTCAAAGTTTGCTTGGGAGTAGTTGGAAATGTGATCTATCTGCATTGAGTTGCAATAACTGACGCGGCATTCATATCGCATATTAAACCATTATCTTCAAAGAGCATGTAACAAATGTATATAAAGTAAAGTAAAAACCAAAGAGAACAGTCGTCGTTTGCATCGACTATGGCATACCCGCTACCTCAAGTAAAGCATTCAGTAAGCTTACAACAACTTATTTGTTTATTTTCTATCAGACTTTCCAAGCTCGCCCTCAAAAATGAGCTGATAATTGCACTTGGGCAGTTTGGATGATGTTTATTCAAATCTCTGTTTCAATCCAACTGAATAAATAATCGACTGAAAAGCGCTGACTTTGAAAGCGGAAAGTGAAAGCGCATCTGTGAGTGGGGGAAAAAATAATGATTATCGAAGAGGCGAATATTGTTGGTCGTTCGAGAAGAAATGCAAACACGTGTCTTTAATTTCCGCACTCTCTGCATTTTTTATTTGCCTCGTTGGCACTTAATTATGTGGCCACTTAAAAATACTTGTGAATACTTGGCATGATCTAAGCGTAAATTATAAATCTAAATAAATTATGAGCTAATTGCACGGCTAGTCTAATTGGAGTAGTCCAGTCGCCTTCTGGCCAGAGCCAATCGGATGAGTCGGCGCTGCTCCAGTTCCTGCAGTTGCTGCTGGACGAGCAGGCGATGCAGTAGCTCCACTTTGGCGTACTCCTGGGCCTTTCGTTGCACCCGCTTTTGCTGCTCCTCCACAAAGGCGTCCATGGTTTTTGAGACGGCACAGGGTTCCGTGAGTTCCTTTTGCTCCTGCTCCTCCTGTGTGGTGTGATTCCAGCACTTGGTCTGGATGAACTGCAGCAGTAGGTGGATCAGATGGCACCAGAAAAGCAGTGAGGATTGATAGAATTCGGAGAGGATCGTGTACATGTCGATTGGTCAGTTAACTGGTGAGAAGTGTGAGGTTTTAAGCCGAATTCGGGATATATATAGTAAAAGAGGTTACCTGGGCAGTTCAAGCAGGTAACTGCTGGAATTCCAACGGAATACCTGTAAGAATGTATCTTCTACGGGCTAAATCCGTTAGTCCTTCGGGCCTCCTAATCAGGTAACTTTCAGGATCAATAAGTAACAAAGATCTTGGGCAGTAAAGATTTTGGGATAACCCGGTTACCTATGGCCCTTATAAGAGAGGATTATCGCGCCTTACCTAACCCATTTGCTATTTATATTAATTGTAGGGTATTCTGGTATTACGTTTTAAAGCATTTCTTTAAAACATATAATCAATTCGTTATCAATTCTGTATTAACCTATTGTGGTATCTGAACTTTCCAGGCTCAACCATGGAGCAGGCGCGTCCTGTGCCCGCTCCCCGCCGCCTCTATCCAGAGCTGCGGCCCGCCAACTACGAGAACATCGAGATCAGAACGCCCAATGGTCCTAGCAACAATATGAACCACAATAACAATAAGAAGCTCAACATAAATGCGGAGAATCTGCACGGCAATTGTGCGGAAAAGAAGCTGCCATCGAGTGGACAAAACAAGTTGATCCTGCAGGAGAACAACTCCGATAGTCAGCAGCCGATCTACGGTCCGGATGCCAATGAGAATGTCCAGGAGCCGGTGTATGCGACACCAAGGCCAGCTCCACGCCAGCGTTTCCCACCAGCGGGGGAGTCGGAGGATCCCGATCCCGAGGACGAGGATGAGGTGCCACTGAGGATTCTGCGAGCGGCACCACAAATTCCTCCCAAGCCACTTAACATCCTGCCCGACCAGCGAGCCTCGATTTGCAGCGAGTTTTCCACCACCAGTGTCCAGACGCCGGGCAAAACTGACGAGGACCGGTACGCGTCCAATGCTTCACTGGACTGCAGCGAGAGCTCCCATAGCGGCAAGTTCAAGTCGCAGTCACCCGGGTACGTAGACGCCGTCGATTCATCCATTCCGCAGTCGGATCATCCGGATCCAAACGGGAACCATCCACAGGCAGAGTCCTCCTCCGCAGAACAGTCCTCCGGGAGCCAAGATGGCGACGATGACAAGTAAACCATTGACCAACATTTCTACCCTTTGCCTTGCACTTTCCTTAGTTTTCCGATGGGTTACCCCTTTCTTGTCTCCAATGTGGAAGCTAATATCACAATATATATGTGGTTTTTGGGTAGTTTTTTGTTATTTTTTACTTTTAGATAGCACAAAATGCTTATAAAAGTTGATGCACAGACAAAAATATTGTAAAATATTTTTAAAATCCTTTTCACTTCTAATTTGTATTAACTAATCTTCTTAATTATGCAATTAGCTGTGTACTTTTATGTTTTTTTTCTCTACAATGTTTAGTAGTTCAACTTTGATATGTTTTCCTAATTTGCGGTTGTGGTTACAATAATTTGTTATATGCCAATACAGCAAAATGTTATTGCATTTAAGTAAACATTTGAAGCCAAAACAAACATCGTAAAATAATCACATTTTTGTTTCGGCATTGCTATATTTGCCTAAGTTGTTATCTGGTTTATTGAGCCTTTTTTGGAGATAATTTTTTATCGAAAGTATATCATAGGTTGCTGGTTTTTCTGTGGGTATTAGGAATTTAGATAAATAGTTTAAAACAGCGACATTTCAGCACGAATCGCTTAGTTTGATGGAGCCGAGAAGATTTATATGAACTTCCTGCTAAAGACACAGCTGTTTCACTAATCATTTACATATCGCATTGGCCCAAAAACATACCCCTAGTTTAATAGCATCTTTTCTGATTTATGCACTACACTGCGGAACTCCATTTCCCCCTATTTCGGGTATGTCTCCTCGAGATTACTTCCGCCGCCCTCTCCATCCGTAAATAAAAATGGGCTCATCAAGGGATTCGGCTCTATAAATAGCCTGGCGTCTGTTCAAGATCAATGACAAGCGGAATTGTTTAAAAATAGTAGCGCGGAAAATCTTAAGATCGTTTTTCACACCGAAATCTGAGTTTTGTGCGGTCGACAATTGTTTTCAAGATCAATCGGTAGGGAACCGCGTAGAGGAATGGAGCATTGTCGGGAATAGTCTAAATTGTATAAAAAGCTGTATCTTACATTATAACAAAGTTTTAAGGGAGGAATATTGGTAAGTTACAAGAACTCTTTATAGGAGTTTACTGGTTTTGGTTTTTTGTTTTCTTACTTTTGAAAAGTTTAAGTTTAAGTATTACCAGTAATACCTAATGGATTATATTTTGGTGTTCTTCGAATGATGTGTGGTGTTTCCGGTTTGGACTTACCTTGGTGTGCTAGATTCCCAGACTCAATCTTTGGAATGATCCCCGCCTGAACACATAGTTTATTGTGGTCTAACCAATTTAGCTTGATGTGTTTTGGATCTTAACTACTAACGCAAAAGGGAATGGCATAGTCTTTAGCACCAAAAGTCGGAATATCTAATAGATTGTGTATCTTTAACTCCCTAGTAACCTGCTTCGATCGCTGGGCACCACATCTAAGCTGCTTGGAGAAGCCATAGGCGAGCGAATCACGGTCAAGGCCAAGGGAGCCAAGAAGCGACTGGACAGGAACCTGAAGAGCTCCACGGAGGCAATCAGTACCCTTGGAACGGATGCTGGCCGGAGTTTGAAGCACGCCGGCAAGAGATTCGGCTCCAACTTCAGTCTTGGCAGGAATAAGGACAAGGTGGAAGTAGGCGTAAGGCCAGGGGGATCGGGCGAAATGGATCTGGACAGGCGGCAGACAATGCCCAATACGGAGGTCTTTAGCACGATCCAGTTCTCGAGTCCATTGAACCGAAACGGTGGACTCTCGGACCTGCGTGAAAACGAGACAAAGCTGCAAAAGCAGGAGTATCTGCGTCCGGATCCGGATCAGCAGGACGACGGCTGCTATGAGGTGCCTAAAACGCAAGGCAAACCGCCCAGCTACGACGAGGCACTGCGGTCACGTCCCTCGCCCAGTGCCTCGCCAATGTCCAGGAATCTCGCCCAGGAGGCTTCCCAATTGGTGCAGTTGCGAAACCAGCGGCAGCCGAGCAGCAGCTCCTCAAATGGCGACGAGTCGCCACGACTGCCCATGCCAGCTTTTCCTCCACCCCGCCTCTCCCAGCAACCGGAGCAGTTCCGCCTGGATGCACTGCAGCCGCCGGTGCGCCAGAAGCGTCGGAAGAACTACGAACACATCGAACTGCGACGTCCGCCCGTCGACTCCGCCAACCTGGAGGAACTCAATCGGGCTGCAGCGGCCGCAGAGCGCGAGGAATCCCTGCTGATCTCCGTCAAGAATGCTGAGGCGGAGACCAAGACACCGAAACCGGAACGCAGCGATTCGTGGGAGTTCTACGGTGAAGACGAGAACGAGAACGAGGAGGAGGATGAGGAACAGGAGGGAAGCTCCTCGCCCGAACCTGTGTACGCCAACCAGGAGGCAACCTACGGCAAGCTTTTTGAAATGGCCACAGCAGGGAGCAGTCGCAGCAATGTGCTGACCCCCAACCAGGTGGCGGAGCAGCAGCAGCTGGCCTGCATCACCGAGGATTCCGAATTGGATGCCGGCGAAGGAGCTGTGGGCGGGGTTCCCCTGCCGCAGGCCCTCATAGAGGAGTTCGACCCGCTCAGCAGCAAGAGTTCGACCCTGGCCAGGTCCAACAAAAGCAACGAGTTGCTGCTGCTCGAGCATCTGCTCGAGGAGGACACCTACGGCACGGTAAAGGCGGAGCAGGACGATGTGAGCATGTGCACCTCCGAAGAAGAGCCCACGCCGAGTGCCGCCACATCCCCTAAGCCCCAGCAGCCGCAGATAGTGCACCAGAATGCCCGTCTGCTGAGTGATAGCATGGAGAACATGTTGGACTCGGATCAGGAGCGCGCCAGAGACGAGGAGCGGGCAAAGCCCTATCTCAGCCGAATGCCAGTGTCGGCAAATAAAGCCAGTGGACCTGTGGACTTGAGCAGCGCGTCAAGGAATCGAACCAACTGGTTTGTGCCGGATAAGGCATCATGTTCCGATGTGACACCCACTGCATCTAAAACTACGGCGCCCATCGAGGGCGACAGCCCACCCACATATCTGGAAGCGATTGGAGGCAGCAAGGATGCCGCCGGCAGTCAGGAGAATCGCTCCACCATCGGCTCTCGCTTCCGGCAAACCATCAATGCCATATCCAATGTAAAACTGAAAATGGACGCCATGAAGCGAAAGGCCAGCTTCAGGGGAGCCAATCAGCGGCAGTCCGACGTGCGGGTGGCCCTGCAAATGGTGCCCAGACCCAGTTTATCGCCTTTGCTAGTCCGCTACGAGGGTCCGCTGGTTCGTTTTCCATCCGGTGTCGTGGAGGATATACTTAAGGAGATGCAGAATCGCAAGGCCATACTCAGGGAACGCCAGTTTCAGACGTTCCTCGACCAGGAGATGAAGACGCCCAGGGAGATGATACCCCTGGACACGATCACCACGCTGCAATGCGTGAGCAACAGTCGCGTCACGGACACGGCTACCCATTTCTACTGCTTCGAGATAACCACGTCACAGCCGAAGAACGGAAATGGAGCGGGGGACGTCATGTCCTCCAACCCCAATCTTCTCATGACCAGCAGCGCGTCGGGCAATGTAAAGCAGCAGCGTGTTTCTCATCTGTATGGCGTGGGCAAGGAGTCGGAACGCGGCGTCTGGATGCAAAAGATCCTCGAGAGCTTGACCAACAGCCTGCCGGTGAAGTACACTTGTCACTACTATCGCGCTGGATGGTGTTATCTTAAGGTGAGTACTTTCTTTAGCTGGATTCACGGGATTCTTATGCCATTAATCTGCAGAACTCTATCACCTCGGAGTGGAGCGGCACCTGGTTGGTGCTTCGCAAGAGCCAGCGACGCTTGATCTTCGTAAGCGAAGCCAACGGCAATGTGGAGAAGATGGATCTGCGCAAAGCACGCTGCATAGGTGAGGTGATCTTAGAACTAATCCTCGTAATATACCATTGAAACCGTATTTTGATACAGTACTGAAGGAGAGCGACGAATCCATTGACAATCTGCACGTGGAAAGCGGTCCCATGCTGATGATTGACTGCCCGCCGTATGCGGTCTACATGATCATGAGTTCCGCCCGCGAGACGAAGATCTGGAGGCACATCATCCGTGAAGTGGCCCACAACAATGGCTTCTCGCTGGGCGATCAACAGCTTACGCGGTACGATGTGCCCGTCATTGTGGACAAGTGTATCAATTTTGTGTACATCCACGGTTCCATGTCGGAGGGCATCTACCGCAAGTCCGGATCAGAGAACTCTATGCACAAGCTTATGAGCGCCTTTCGCGCGGATGCCTTCAATGTCGAGATCACCCGAAATGAATACAATGAGCACGATGTGGCCAATGTCCTCAAGCGCTTCATGCGCGATCTACCCGAACGATTGCTGGGCAAGCTGACGGATAGCTTTGTCTTCGTCACGGAGCTGGCGGTGGCCACCGAGAAGATTCCCATCTATCGCGAGCTACTTGGCCGACTCTCCGCCATCGAGCGCGAAACACTGCGGCGAATTGTCGGTCATCTGGTCTTCATTAGTTCGCAGCAGGCCAAGAACAAAATGAGTGTCCAAAACCTAACCATGATTTGGGGTCCCACGCTGCTTGCCAAGAAGGTAAATGGATTGAATTTCCATATGATATAAGCAAACTTCATAAGAGTGAACCTATATCCATAAAGTGATATGATTTACAATGAGGGGTATACATACATATATCAAGAAGAATTATTACCTAACTTGAAGCGTTAAAATCGTAGTTTATTCAAGCTTGCTTTTGATTTTCTAAGCCATTATTAATAATTTGTATTATTAGATAAGGCTATCTTATAAAACTGTTAGTAACCTAAGTACTAATTGCTTCTAAGGCAGCTAAGGCCTTCAGCTCTGGTAATACAATTTTATAAGGGACAAGAATGTATATTTTATGTATTCGGTTGCAGGTATTATTTTGGATTGGCAATGTCAACGGAGATTGAGTTTTGTGTGCAACTTTCATACTAAAAATTATAATTTTATCCACAGAGCGACGAGCTCATCTACTCGCAGAAGGAGGCGGATGTGCTCAGCGATCTAGTAGTGCTCTACAAAAATCTCTTCCCCTGCAGTACCGATGAAATTGTGAGTTGGCTAAAAATAAATATACATGTGGAATATGGTTTGAGATCTTACTACTTATAGAAACGGGAGCAAGCCATGCTGGCATGTCTGCAAAAGTATTATGCGGCGGCCGAAACGCTTAAGGATGCGGTGAAGCAGTCCGGGGACATTAAGATCTGGATCAGCCTGAATCCCAATCCTGAAAACAAAACAGAGGTGAGATTCTTTGAAATATAATAATAGTAAAATATCTGATTTTTACCAACTGCCTGTGGCTTCATATTGAGCAGGAGAAGACGCAAGTAAATGCCACCATATCGCCCACAAAAACCGCCTACGAGCTGTGTCGCGAATACTCCGCCAAGATGCAGCTGCCCACCCACCAGTTGACCCTGTACGAGGTGATCCTGAACGACAGCTTGGAGCGTCCGCTGCACCATGACACCAAGGTGTTCGATGTCATTCTGAACTGGTCCTATTGGCCGGAGGAGGATCGCAAGCATAACTACCTGGTGGTACGTCCAGTTGAGATGCTGCGCGAGATCCAGCGAGCTGTGAAAAATCTGGCCACCGTAACGCCCGGCAAGGAGCTGCGATTCGCCGACTCCAGAACGAAAACCTTTAAAACGCTTCAGTGTGAGCTGCGGGATGGAAAGATTGTGGTGTCCAAGAAGGACAAGAACGACAAAACGACCATTGTGCGGGAGATCTTCTTGCAGAGCAGCACAGCGTACCTGGGTTGCGAACGCAAACGAGACTTTCCCTGGAGTTGGGCCATCACCTTTGTGGAGCGTACGCAGGCGCAGATCATGAGGTGGGTCATCATCATCTTTGACTGCAGTGAAATAGTATAATATCATCCTATCTAACAGATCGCGAGATGCGCCATTCATTGGCCATGTCCTGGCGGGTAGCGAGTGGGTGGACCGAACCATTTGGTACTCCAGCATCTGGTACTGCTTGTACAGGGACAACATCTTGCCGCCGGCGGAGATCATCATCAAGTAAAAGTGCCCTCTCCCAGCTGCCAAACATAGATTTTAACGCCGTCTTGTGCATTTTTCTGTAGATATTCTGAATTTATTCGCAATACTTAGGGAATATATACGTTTAGCAATATTTTTACGAACAATTTCGAAAATTTTCCAATATTTCGATATTTTTCCAACGAATATAATTTTTTTTACACTTTTTTGTAAATAATCATTTTCACTGAAATACCAAATTGTACATAAGCTTAAGGAACATCAATTGTATAACTAAGTACATATATGCCCCTTGTCTTCAGCAAATCTAGCGTTTATCTACATATGTAGATATGGCGAACTATTATTTAGGCACAGCCAAACGGAGCAAATTTTAGGTTAGGTAAAGGTTTTGTAAAATGCCTAATTTTATACGTACATATATGTTTTCAATTGGTTTTGCATTTCTGTAATGTTCACTTACATTTAAAATCATTTAATTAATAAAGTTAATTTGCTTATGATTATTTTGATATAGTATAACTATCAAGTTCATGTCATTTGAAATTACGCAAGCAATTATTGAAAAGATGTATATATCTCAGCTCACATGAAAAAATTGGATTATTATTTGTTTATTAGTTTCGACTGCCAAAAATCAGCAGCTTCGAAGATGCTTTTCAATATAATTCATTAAGTGGTGGGCGAGAATGGCCAAACAATCCCAGCTATCATATTTTAGGAATTCGGATTTTTTGAACCCAGTTTCCTTGAGCTGCGATAAAACATTCAAACTGGCCAAAAGTCCGACTACGTCTACACGGTAACCCATTAAAAACGCAAGAACATTTGAATATCACTAAAATTTTGCATTTATTTCTGTTGTCTCTTGTTTTGTTTCTGTTTCATTATCCATTTTCTTAAGATTTATGTTTTTCGAGAACATTAGTTTTCTGTTTGCTTGAATTTCACATACATAGTCGATTTTGTTGTTTGTTGTACAATACATAAAAAGAAATATGCGTGTTATGTATCTATAGTATATATATACGCTTGTTATTATGTAAATACACATATAGTCGTATAGGGTGTTAAGTATATTGATCAAGTAAACATGGTTTGACAAATTCTATTGTGTTCCTCGCGTAAGAGTGAGATGGATGTCAAAGCAGCGCTCTGAAAGAGAGGGCGACTGTAGGTGTATGCTTCACTGTGTGCGTAGGTTGTGGGCGGATGGGCAGGTGTGTGTATTGTGGTGATGGTTTGAGGGATTGAGGGAAGCGGGTGGGCGCGACTGTGAATTTCGGTCGTACTCTTAATCGGTATCAATATTTTTACACTAACTAAATATACAACTCAAAAAACGCCAAAAATAGGATCTCAACCTGGTTAGGATCGGCACTCAAAGTTTGGGACTACATATATACATCGAGTGGGGCTGCGTGAGCAGGAGTGTGAGAGAGGGAGAGAGCAGGAAATACATATTTTTGTCTTTATTTTAAAGTAAATATCTTCCTTTAGTTGCTGCGACATTTGAAGTGCTGGCAAAAGTTAAACCTAGTCGTTATATTTTTAGCATACGTATATATATATGTATACATAGGCATATATATACATACATATATATAACTAGAGGAGGGCGCTGGGCCGCTCAAACTATCAACAAGTTTTCTAACGTTAGCTCAAAAAAATAATAAGAATATTGTATTCAATTAATATTAATTAATAAGAAAAAATCAAACAATGGTCTCAGGTGTCGGTTGGGGCCGCTGGACAGGATTCTGTGGTGGTGCTGTGTTCGTGGCTGGTGTCGTTGACTGTGGGTGTGGGATGGGTGTGCGCTGGGTGCTGGCTGGGTGCTTGATGGGCTCGCTGGATGAGTGAGCGCTTCTCCAAAATGGATAAGTAGTAAAATGCTTAGACGTATAAATAGGCTCTCCTAATGTTAGTATGTAATAATCACATAGACTGCCGCTATTTCCTTTTTGCTGCCTGCCCTCAGCTTCCTTCTCGGTGTCTGCGGACGACTACATGTGATGCCACTGCGCCGCCGCCGCAACATTTGTGTTGTCGTTCAGCCTGGCGATCTCCTCGTGCAGTTCATGCCCCAGCCACTGCAGGAAGATCTTGCTGTAAGCCGCCTGGCAGAGCCTCAGCGGATTACCGCGCCTCAGACCCATATCCGTTTCGCCGTACTCGTCCAAATATGGCGGCGGAATGAAGCAACCTTTGCCGCGGCCCAGGTACACCACCTGGCAGTCACGGATGCGCAGGAAGATGCCCACCTCGGCGCCACAAGCGTGAGCGTGATGGGTGCACGCGCCCACCGAGACCTTGCCCAGCTCCGGCTGGCAGCAGTACGACTGACCGCACAAAATTGAGCCGCATATCAGACACATCGTTGGCGTCTTCATCTCCTCGCGCTCGTTGTTCGGACAGAAGATGTCTGATACGCTGTTGATTAAATCGCTGAAGTCGTCGCACAGTACCTTCAAGCGCGGCAGCGGGCGCAGGCAAGGTTCCAGCTGCAGGGAGCGACGGGCATCAGGCTGGCAACGCTGCTCCACGTCACGGTCAATGTGCGGATGCGAGGCAAACGAGTGCATCATGGTGGCGTACACCGTCTCCATGTCAAAGTAGACACCCAGCATGGGGTCCAGGCCCAAATACTGGCACATTAGATCAAAGCGATCCAATTGATCTGTGGGAAACGTGTCTGGAAAATCCACGTCGGTGAGAAAGCGATAGAAGAGGCAGGAGCAGCGCAGGAATGAGCTCATCTGTCGCTGCACGTACTCGAGAAGAAGGGCCAAATCATGCGATTCACAGGGTATCACCACTGTCTGCTCCTGACTCTGATTTTCTTCCGTGTCTTCCTCCGCCAGCTGCATCTGTTTATTCTTCTGCAGCACTCTGGCCGGAATATTGTAGCGGCGATAGAAGGCCACCATATTGTCCCGAATCCTTGACGGTAGCTGCTCCACGTAATCCAATTGTGTGAGTTCAGGATTGGGCGTCTTTGCCGCTCGTTTAGCCTTTTCCTTATCCACATTAAAGCAGAGGACCGCCTTGGTCAGGTGGGCCAGGAACATAGTCTGCAGGATGTAAAAGTCGAACATGCTGCCGCTGGGTACGATCGCTCTGTGACCTGAAAAATAATGAAACAATCTGGTTAATTACAACTGGTTGATGAATGACCCTTAATGACACTTACCCTTCTCGGGTACCATCAGATTGAGCACTCCAAACTGGAACGGCACCAGCACGCGGAAGCAGTCCCACTCGAGCACACTGGTGCCATTTTGATTGAATACGGTGTCCAGCAGTCTAGCGGAGAATTCCGCTTGGAAACGCAACGACGGTAGCAATGGAAGTTCATTATTCAATTCCGAAGCCGAGAAGCGTGCGCAAGCCCTCACCAAGTTCCTGGCACAGCTCTGGTGGCGCATGGACAGCTCGGCCTTCAATGGCTTTTGGACCACGTACAAATAGATCTCCAGCGCCTGCAGCGTGTAGCTACACGTGTCCCACAGCATGGGCACCAACTCGAGGCTTCCGGGTTCCAGTGCAGTGGCTGGTTGGTCCTTAAGATGTGACTGCTGAATCTGCATGGTATTTATCAGCGCTTTGTTTAGGAATTCCAACACTTCGCCAAAGTCGCCGTGCAACCCAGGAAGATTCTTAATTAGGTGCACGCTGCGCTCGAACTGTGCCATACCCCCAACGACCACGCCGGACATGCGCAGAATGTTGGACACACTAGGAAAGAGAGCCATTTCATCGTCCTTCATGGCACCCAGTTCAATGGCCAGTGTGCTCATGATCTCCACGAAACTGTCCAATGGTAAATAGCTATCGGTCGATGTAGGAGCCGGCGAGAAAGCGGGCAATGCTGTTACCGGCAGTACAGTGTTACTAAGGGTTCGGCAATACGGACAGTGGAACTCCACGTTGGCCGCCTGGCCTAGGGCCGCACGATTGCGGTGCGGACGACGCAGCTCCTTGATCTCCTCGTTGCTGAAGTACTCCAGCCAGCAGTCGTAGTGCATCACGTGGCCACAGCAACTCATGTGCAGTGCGCTCTGACTAGTACGCAAATTTGGCGTAGTGAAGATCACCCGCGAGGTCTGGACAAAGGCAGAGCTAACCAATTGCGGGATATTCCGGCTGATGGCACAGTTCTCGAAGCATAGGATGCATTTGACGGTATCATCGCTGCCCTGATAAAACTTGCGGTCCGGTCCCAAGCAGGCTACGTTCGGCTTAAGGGCCACTGCTCCCTGTTCCTCCTCGGAGGGTATATCCTCCCAATCCATGGCACCCGTGGATGCTGACTCCTCGCGCGTTTCCGTGTCGGTGGCCGCAAACATTTCTGCATTACTATTCATGAACGACTTCTGGGCATTCTGCATCTGGGCCATTATCTGTGCACGACGTTCGGCCGCCAAACGAGCACGATTCTCCTTCTCCTCTCGCGCCTGCTCCTCGGAGCTGAGTGGCAGTTCCTCCCCGGCGCTTTGCTGAGAGCCACTAGGTCCTGCTCCACCATCACTGGGCGCCTGTTTGGCCTGCAGCTTCTTGTAGCGCTCGATGGTCCACAGCACAAAGTCGTAATGAGCCTCCAACTGGTCGGGTAATTATAAAAACCAAAAATTAGCTAGGGGAATTTCAATTTTTAGGGATGAGACTCACCCTCGGGCAACGGGCGAGCTCTTCCAACTTCTCCAGAATTCCGTACTTCTGGGAACGCTCGTAGAAGCTCAAGAAGGAATAGTGCTCGCTAAGCTCCTCCTGAATGGCAAAACCCAGCAGGTGAAGGACCTGTAGGGAAATATACGAAATGAAATATTAGGAAGATTGAACCATTAGTAAAATATAATACATATACCTTTTGAAGATGCGATTCGGTAAAGGAGCGACTATGCGTATTCAAGGCCCTGTTCATAACCAAGATGCAGATGTTCAAGAACACAGGGCACTGCAGGATGTTGGCCATGGATCTGAAAGAGCCATGCGTGAGTATATAGACATATATTAGGGTATGTTGCCTTTAAACTCACGTGAAGGCTGGTGTTAGTTGCGGCAGCATCGGTGGCGGGCAGCAGACAAGCTGCTTCTTGGCCTTTCGCCGCTCCCGCTGCTGTTCCTCGGCCTTGGACTTGTCCTCTTTGGTGTAGTGATAGAAGTACATGTTGAACTCCACAAGCAAATGCTCTTTTAGTTCGTATACCCCCTTACTGTCTGCTCCAACGGGCTTCTTGAACACGGCCACCGTGTTGATAACGTCCTCGAAAATAATGTCGTTATTTCCGCTATTGCCATCCGGCAAGGCGCGACTCAATTCCGAGTGTGAGTAGGATTTGATGCACAACAGCTGGATGATCTCCTTGCGCAGGCGATCCTCTTCGGTAACCATCGAAACGCCAGGCATCCAACGTTCTCCAATGATAACGATCAGTAGTTCCAAGAATTCGTCAAAGATTGATGCCTCTCGCAAGATTTCATCGTTCATCTCATTATCGGACAACATGGACCAGTGGGTTTCTTGTAACCAAGGGATCATGTTGAACTTATTCAATACATGGATCAGGAACTCGTTGCTCTCCATTAGGGAGGCGCCGATCTGCAGGCAGGCTATGTCCCTGTCTAGCATCTCTACGCGGCAACGCACATTTCGGTAGAAGTAGAGTTGGTGCAGCAGGGTGTAACCATTGCGGCGCCACATGCCCGCGGCCACCTGGGCGATCATTGCTTGGGTGCATAAAACCGGTTCGATGAT